TTAAACCAAGCCCTGAAAAGATTAGAGCAGTGCAAGAAAGCAAAGCACCTGAGTCAAAAGAGGCTGTGCGAAGTTTTTTGGGTATGACAAGCTATTTGTCGAAGTTTATCCCTCGATATTCATCGATTACTGCACCGCTGAGAGCATTAATACACAAAGACATTAAATTCCATTGGGGATCGAAGGAAGAAGAAGCATTCAGAAAAGTTAAAGAGAGCATCACCAGCGAAAGCACTGTGGCTTTCTTTAACCCAACTAGACCAATAATTGTGAGAGTCGAAGCCAGCTATCACGAGGGACTATCTGCGGGACTATTTCAGGAAACCAAGAAGGGACTGCAGCCAGTTCATTTTATTAGTCGCACGATGACGGAAGTAGAGAAACGGTATAGTCAGACCGAGAAGGACGCCTTAGCAGTACACTGGGCCAAGAACAGATTTAGTATTTATCTCCTCGGAGCACCAAGATTCAAGATCATCACTGCACATAAGCCATTAATTCCACTATTTAACAAGGCTACCATCAAGCTGCCCCCAAGAATTGAGAAGTGGGTGATGGGTATGCAGGATGTTGACTTCGAACTTGTATACAATCCAGGCAAGAATGAAGCAGATCCACTCGATTTCCTTTCAAGACACCCACTACCAGAGACAAGTCGAGACACCATAGAGGAAGTTGTGAAACAGGTTATTACTGAAGAACATGCTGTCGTTGTTGATCAAATTCTAGAAGAGACGCAGGAAGATACCCAACTCCAGAAACTGTCAGAGAGAATCTTAAGAGGAGACTGGGAGCAATACAGGAAGGATCCAGACATCAGTCCTTTCTATGGTATACGGTACGAGCTGTACTCTGTCAATGGCATTATTTTCCGGATGGACTAGATTGTTATTCCCACACGATTACAGAGGAAAGTTGTCAGAGCAGCACATCACTTAGGACATCTGGGCATGACCAAAACTAAACAAATGCTTCGCGAGAAGTATTGGTTTCCGACTATGAGTACAATGGTGGAACAGATCGTTGGGCAATGTTTTGAATGCCAAGTCACAACAAAGCAACACCAGCAAGAACCAGTAAAACCGACGGCGATACCGAAGAAACCATGGGACGTAATCGCTGTGGACTTTGGAGGACCGTATCCCGATGGCCATTATAACCTTGTAGCTATCGACAAAAGGACTAGATACCCTGAAGTTGTAAGAGTTAGTTCTACATCTTTCTCACAAACGAAAGAGAAGCTGAAAACCATGTTTGCCACTCATGGAACTCCTAGATATCTTGAAAGTGACAATGGACCACCATTCCAATCCAAAGAATTTGCCGAATTTGCGAGGACCGAAGGATTCCAACATCATCGGGTTACCCCAGGACATGCACGAGCAAATGGTGAAGCGGAAAGTTTCATGAAACTTCTGAACAAGACAGAGAAGATCGCACACCTACAAGGTCAGAGTAGTACCATAGCAATTCAAGAAATGCTGACTGGATTTCGATCGACACCACATCCAGCCAACGGTGCAACACCATATGAAGCAATGATGAATAGACTAGTGAGGACCAAATTGGACCATCAAGCCAGTTCATCAGATCCTAAGAATTCAGAGGATGCTACAATTAACAGGAAGGATGGGGCATACAAAGAAAAGATGACCCGCACAGCTCACAAAAGAAACGTTAAAGAGCATAACTTCATTGTTGGTGACCATGTTCTCCTGAAGCAGAAGAAGACAAATAAGTGGTCAACAGCATACGAGCCTGCAATCTATATCGCAACTCGTGTTAATGGATCAAGCATCGCAGCTAGACGGATTAAAGATGGTCGAGAAGTCTATCGCGACGCCAGCCAGTACAAGCTTGTGAACATGTTAGTCCGTGGAAATGAACATCGAGGACGAACAGATGAAGAAGAAATAATTTCAGAGAATGAGAGAAACCTTGATGAAGAATTTTGGCGAAAATGAAACAGAGCATCAAGAGCACGCAGAGAGTAACGCAAGTACCAACAAAGGAGAAGAAACTAGAAACACCCCAGGAATGGAAATTCAACAGGCTGAAACTCAACAAGATGATAAACCACAACTTGAATTACCACCACCTGAGAAACTACAACCACTAAGAAGATCAACGAGGAACAGAAAAAAACCATTATATTTGACAGACTACATAACGTGAACATTTAAGTATCAACATTATTTAGCAAAAGCAGAAAATGGTAAAAAAAAAAGGGGTTACTTATAATCTATATTTAAGGGAACTGATAGGGACTAAAAGACATTCTAACAGTTTAATAGTAGTTTTATATTTTAATTATTTCCTATCTTTGGAAAAAAAGGAGAAATGTAGTATCCGGTAATTAGTATTAGTTAATTAGTATGCATGAATTAGTATTCCACTATCCCAATATGCTATTGTTAGCTGTATATAAAAAGGATCCTATGTTTTGTATTAAACATTCTTATATGTTCGGTGAGTTGAGGTCATTACAGACACGTCGTAGTTTGCACAGGATTGAAGATTTAATATAACTATATAAGCTCGAATTCCAAAGGCAAAGTGTAAGACAAAGCGAATGTATCATGCGGTTTATTTACATTTGGACGCGTCCTCCTTTCGCTGTTGAATATGTTTTTTGCAACGAATTAAAAATAAATGGAGAAAATGTGATCTGATACTGGTTCGTTGAAATATCTTGGTGAAAATTTCCATGTCGAGGCCGCGTTTTGCTTAGAACAATTAACTATGGAAAAGTCGCAAATATTGAGTGTTGAATTTCAATAGGTTTTTACAGAATCTGCAGAGCCGAGGCAGAAATACGCGATTTTTCCCATGATTTTTAATCGAGGTCATATTTGGTAACATACGGTATATATTATTAAATGATAAATATACACCCCTCTAAATTAAGCTTCTAGCTACTTCCCTGGATCCTTGTTTGCGAACTACAAAAATCTAAGGGAGCACATTCACGCTGTGACATTGTTTTTGTGTATTTTGCCTACTAGATTGTTTGTGATGTATCGCGATTTGCTTAGGTAATACCAAGACATAGACTTGTCAAAGCAAAATCTCAGCCACCACAATTTAATGTTTGAGGCTATTGCATGTCAAGGCTAACACTTCAGCAAAGACACATTGAAAACCTCATTTAGTCAATCATGAAAGGCAGTTTTACCCACAGGCGGAATTTTTCGATCAGACGAATTTTTTCACTTTTTTCAATCTTTTTTTCTTATGTAAATAGATCCTTTCGATGATTACGTCAAAACATTGTTAACTGCGTCGGAATGACGTGAGCTCATAGTTTTGATGTGGATATTATTATCATTTCTTGTGGAGCCGGGCGCTTGCTAGCCTGCGGGTTGCAACCCTAAAGAAGGGCTGATGCGCAGGCTAATCTGACAAACGAATCGCCATGTTGAATTTTCATGAGGAATACATCCCGATTCTTGATTTCTGAAGATCACACAGAGATCAAAATGCCACGGCTAAACGTGACGCAGATTTAAATGAGATGGATTTACTCTCACAAGCAATAAAATATTTTCTTCAACAGATGCAGGTAAAATAACTTTATTTTTCTACAGTGACACCAAAACGAGGTTTCCAGATCACGATCGTGTTTGGCTAACGTAAATCAATAAAATCTTGTCCCCTGAGCGATTTTTCCTGCTCTAGTTTACCCCATCAGATTCACGTGCGATTTTCATTTTTTGTGTCAATATTTTAAAATTATGGCAGCATTTGGCATCATTAATAAGTAAAAAAGTTAAACTTTTTATATGCAGGAGGTAATTATTTTAATAAATTTGAACAACGAAATCTCTAAACAGTAGATATTGAACGAAATTTTGTTTGGAAGAGATTGAGTGAGTTATTTCCAGCCTGATTTATCACGCAGCCAAGTCTGGGGGATTTAATCACATATATATGAGGAAATATTCTGTTTAGCCTGAATGGGGCAGTAGTCAGGGTATCAGTATATCAATTCAGTTCTGAGTTCCCAACACTCACTCTTAACTACAAACGACCATCAGACAATTTTGGCACACAATTATTCATTCAACACTTGGTCTCAACGTTAATCGAGGAAATAATATTCATACCCATCAGTTCTTTGAATAATAGTTTTGTCGCGTAGGGAATCTTGATTTCATGCGAGGACTGACAGAAATGGCACCAGCCGGAATATCCTATTAAACCACATTTGGCGCATACGTCGACTTCAAACTGATCACTGGATATCATTAAACGTTCAACCAGCAGCAGACTAAAAATAAAGATTGTCTTCAGGATAAGACGATTCTGCAAACGACCGTGTAGTTTGAACACTTTACAGCAGTTCAGCTAATTTGTATCCCTGACACTTTGTAATACTGGAAAGGGAGAAAGGCGCTATGTGAGGGACCGGTCATAAACCCCTATACCTGTTATAAACAAATATAGGGGTGGGCCACTATTTTTGAGATGCACGTTTGAATGGGTTAGTTATAGCAAGTTAAATGGAATCGAAAGGTGGGTTATATAAAAATATGCCGTAAATATTTGAAATATAATTTTACGTTTTTAAAAATAAAAATACAACATTTTATGATTCAAAAAACAAATTCACACATGATCTTTATATTTCAATGAAAATACCAATAAAAAACTATTTGGCAACGCTGAATCTTTCATTTCCCTGAAAGGTTGGGTCATAATTTTTCAGCACCAATTTAGATGGAGCATGAGCACTAGCAATATAAAAGTTTTGTTTCATGTAGTTGTTAGTTGTAGTTGACTCCAGTACTTGTAAGTTGTATAAGTTTTCGATAATAAATATTGTTATATATAAGTCTTCCACTGTCATGAGCTTTAACAGGATTAACAAATTTTCGTGCTACTATGCATGAGGGGGTAGGCTAGCTACAAAAAATGCACACACAAAATGTGTGATTTTCCCAGATTACCCTCCCCCCCTTTTTTACTTCTTTTCTCGTCCTTAAGCAGGCACACCATACCTCGTTCCATAACCTATCAAACAATCTCTTTCCATTTCTCCTAATCGTAGTCCACCATCCCTAAATAATAACAGAAATATTCAAACCTATACACATAACACAACATGCAGTAGTGGTGACAGGAAGTTTTAAATTGCTATTCACGGTTTTAGATTCATCATAACTGAATTGACAGCTGCACCTTGAACGACCTTCAGTTGGCTGCCTGGTCAACACAGCTCGGGGGCCCTAAATAAAATGTAAAATAGTAAACTCCCACGTGGCAGAAAAGACAAGGTTGTTGCAGATCTCGGGCACAGTTTTTCTCGTCCGTTTTTCTCACCAGTTTTTCGCTGCCAATAAATAACATATATATATTCAATTTACTTATTATCATCTTAAATATCTGCAATATCATCTAACAGAGGTCACCCTAAAACTTGTAGCTTGAAGCTACCAATAGTAAGACCCTGGTACCCCCTGGTACCCGGGTAAAAATATGATTAAAAAATCTTACCTTCGCTCGAGCGTGCATTTTATCCATGACCATGTGTTTTAATTTCTGATAGTACACAGGACCTGAATATATATAAGCCTCCAGAGGTTCACTAATAAAATATAGAAGATGAGCATTAAACACCATTCGGTTAAGTTAGCCATAAAACTTTTCCTGATAGGGTTAGGGTAAAGAAAATAAGCTAAACGTTTAAATTCTTGATTGGCATTGAAATAGTTATATACCCTGTTATGCCAGAGGTGAAGTAATCTTTTCCGTCATAATTAAAACCATGTTCAACCAAGACTTGACCGACATCATGTACTTTATCACCAGCAAATGCTAAAAAATAAACAAACCATAAATTAAGTGCCGGGGAGTGAAGTCTTTATACAAAAAACGGTTTGTTAAATTGCTATACTTTTTAACTGGTGTAGCATTATCGGAGTAGGATCCCCACCAGAAAGATTAAAATATACGTGGATGATCTGGTATGGAAAGATGTCAGTGTTGTGATAGTATAGAGACATCCCAAACAAATATATTGAAAATTAAGAAATTACAGACTTACATACCGGTTCCGTATCGACGCTTCCCGTCCATGACACCAGCCTTCCCAGCAAGCAATTCGATCAATTTTCCAACTGTCATACGGGATGGGAATCCATGTGGATTCATGATCTAATAACATGTTTTTAAATTATGTATCCTACTGAAGAACTCATGCAGGCAAGATCGAGGCGTTTTATCTCATAATTAAAATGATATTAAGGAAATTTTAATAAACGGTCAGTTTTAGTAATTTATTTCACTCAATGGACCTTTCTAACAATGACGTCAAACGAGCAAAAAAGCCTGATCTTACACGAAGTTTGATTGTAAACTGAATGTACATCAGGCTTCTATGTTTGACGACATTATAAGAAATGTCCGCTGAAAAAAATTACTAATAGTAACTATTTCACTTTTTGTGAGATAAAGGTTATCAAGTGATTTAGGTATAACAGCAAATAACAAATTCAAGTGTTCGTACAAATTGTTAAATAAAATGATCGAGGTATATTGGAACAAAATTTTCAATTGCTAAGAAGTATCAAAAGAGATGTCAATTATGCGATTTATACCCAGCTGATCTGAGATCATAACGTCTTAAAACGTCTCGACAAAACTGAGTTATCATGTTCTGGTGTTATTTGTCCCTATTCTTCCAACTAATAGTATAAAGGGTGAAAAATTCAAATTCTAATTTAATGTTGGGAAAAAATAAACGTGTTTTCACATAAATATAATAAAATTACTTGATATACTCGAGTGTCGAAGTCATATGCAATGAAGGAAATGATAATTCAGTTTTGTCGAAGATCTGGCTTCTGATTGGTTGATTTTTATACCCAGATCAGCTGGACAACATCGAATTTTCGTCAACAAGCAAAAAGAATAGCTTCATAAATGTGGATTGAAATACTTACTATGTCAGGACAAATACCCTAAACAATGAAGAAAAAAGAGGTTAATACATGGGGCGGGAATATGTTTAAAATGATCGAATCATGCAACAATTAAACTGGATTGCAAAATAAATTGAATTAAATTGTTTGGCAATTGTATATTTTCCAGTTGTGAACGAAAATTATCACGACAATTGAACTGAAATTGCCCTATAGATCAAAAGTTTCTCTAAGAGATCGTGGTCCATTCCAAGGTTTAAACACACTAAGTGCAATTTTTGTATGCTGATTTTATTTCCCATCATGCTCTCTTACCACTTCATTAAACGGCATGTCTTCTTGATTAACAATAAGTCCCACCACTCTGAAATTAAGAAAATTAATTTACAAATACTTCCCATACCCGCGACTAGCCTTTGCCTCTTTACTCCGGCGTCAGCGACGGAGTTGAAAATTCGCCTCGGTTTTGTTTTGTTTTTGTTTTTTTTTATTATTTTTCGTCGTCGCAAGTCTGAAATGGCGCGAACCATTCTAGTATTTGAAATTTGTAAGTAACCGTATTTATCTACGTCCCAGATTTATCTCCCAAGAGTTGTGGTGTACAGCTTTGGCTAATTTTCCGATGCACGATTCGATTTCGCTCGCATGATACGGCATTCCTCCAAGAGGAACAAATATACCGTTGTTTTCATGCTGTTCGATTAAGTTCAGATTGAATTGGGGTAAGAATATATTTAAAGGAAAATGGCAATATATTTTTTTTCTTGCTCATCTGAAAGAGGACTTACAGAGATGTTTTAAAAATGTCAATTGCCTTCATCAGTTTTGAACGTTCATGAGTAAATGCAGATGTAATTTTCGGTACTTCGAATGTTTGCCCGCCATTTTGAATCATATTTGAACAAAATTATAATTCTTTCGTAATGTCCATGTGACGTCACAACCTGGGTTGTGTTGCTGCTATAGTTTCTTCAACAATGGCAACTGCGAAAGGCAACGAAGAAGATGAATGTAAAGTTATTAATAATGAACAAATACAACCCTATTTGTTTGAGCCAACTGTTAAGGAGGATCAAGAAGAAGCCAGTGATAACTCATCTGACGACTCAGCTTCGATTGAGGATAATTTCGACGAAGAATTTGAAACAGCAAATAGATGGCGTCTGTCTTCCCTTCAGTGGTGTAAATGTGGCAATTGTACACTCATGGAAAAAACAATTGAAAGTTTCTGTTGCCACGAGAAGGCTGTAGAATACGATGAATACGATGGTATTCTAACTGATGCACAGAATCGAGGGTTAAACTGTATCACAAGTTTGTCATCGTTCATTCAAAATATGCTTTCGAAGGAAGTTCTTGACGTTGACGTATCACAATATCTGGAGGAGAATTGGCCGGTTGACGATGATGAGTTAGAACAAACACACAAAATATTTCGTCATGCGGCGTATAGAAGATGCTCACGATGGGTATTCACAATTTTGGGTAGGAAAAATCGTAGAGTTTTCCCTTCATGTGTGTATACTTGTATTAGAAATACTTTTGCGTCACCAAGTGGTTTGTACACTCATTTTAAATTTGCGAAATAACGAAAACCCATTTCATCGAATTATTCTGTATTTTTCATAATACTATTTGATCAGAAACAGCACTGAACATATAAAATATATCTATTTGTTTGAACACTTCTGTACTTACATTTACATTCGTGTGTACAGCTCTTGTCAACTAATTTACATGGGCATCTAACCGTAGCACATTTGCCTGAGCTTTACATGTGGTTCCATCGTCAGCAATTGGATAGGCTGGTTTTGTGATCT